ATTAGGAAGGAGCTGGGGAGCAAGAGACGAACCTACCCCGGGAGACTGGGGCCAGTCTGACAGGACTGCTCAGAAGGCCTGGCCGATAGGGTTGCCAGATGGTTTAAAAAAAAACCGGACACACTTGACATTACATCACAATCTACATTATTTAGAAAATACCGGACGTTTATATTTTCTCATTTATATTTTCTCAATTTGTTTCCCGAACAGAAAGCTCAAATACTGGATTGTCCGGTTCAAAACCTGACACCTGGCAACCCTACTGGCTGAGCCTGCGGTGACTCTCTGCTGGGGGTAGGGAGTGGAAGAGACAGACCCAGCAACACTGGGGTTAGGAACCCAACCAGAGAGGCATAAACAACCAAACTTCCCCTGCGCCAGCCGCAGTGACAGGAGCTACATTTTCCCACACTGTAGGCGGTTGTTTGCCTAGAATCGCCACCGCGAGTGCTCAGACCAAAATCCGAGCCGTGGCTAACCAGGCCACTTACAACCCCTTCGCTTATTTGCTGTCCAAACCCAGCATCCCAGCTGCGAACTAGTGCCAGGGGAGGGTAGAAGGGGCTTTCTGGAGGCCCAGACCTCCAACCACTGTAAAGGCCTCTGCAGTCCCCTGGAGAGCTGTGACCCAAATGCATTAGGCTGGTCTCAGTAGTCTCATCCTTGATCCTCTCTGCTTTGTTGTCTCAGCCTCCGCCTGATTCACACTGAGTGGTGATATCACTGGGTAAATACAGACGGGGATGAAAAAGCCCTGTCTCCACATATGCCTCACTCTCTCCTGGAGGGGGTGGCTCTGTGGCCTCGGCATCAGGTTTATAACCACACAGTCAGATCGCAGCGGGGCTGAGTCAGCCCAGCCTTCTGATGAGGTAGATACATTGAGTCCCGTGCGCTTTGCTGCGTGTGAGCCTTAAAAACAGAGGTGCTGGCTGCTTGGGGTAGGTGTCAAACGTCTCCCGGCACTTTGCAGCAGAGCAGGGCGCTTGCCTGGATGCTCCCCCCGAGGCTCCCTGCATGGTGGGTGCTGGTGCCCAGAGGTGGCTGCACGCGAGCGGTGCTGCACGTAGGAAGTGTGCGAAAGGCTCTGTAGAAACGAGCGGATCCGAGGACAGGGCAGGTTCGCTGGGTATCAGGGTGGGATAGGGGAGTTGTGATAGTTCATAAAGTTTCCCCCGGCATGTTGGCGCTTCAGAGGGGCTGGTGGATGGCGTGTACTTAGGTGGCAAACACCCCGCTCCTGCCACATCCCCCGCACCCGTCAGCACTGCAGCATGGCAGGGAGAGCAACAGAGAAGGCAAGTCTCTGGACCCAGTGTGGGTCAGTGTAGGAAGTGGGGTGGAGGATCGGAGCAGCTCCCAGTGAGACTTACCAGTCTTCCTAGGGCCGGTGGTGCTCCGATCCTGAGGCCAGGGTGATCCGCTCTCCCTCCTCGCTCTGAGCGGGGCTTTCCTTTCCCAGCTCACGCCTCACAGGAGCCTGCGCTCCCGCTTGTGCAGGGAAACAGCTGGGATCCCGATTAGCACACACAGCTACTTTCAAGGCTAATCCAGAAATGATGCATGAGGCACAGGCACTAAAAATAGGAGCAAAATCAAGCCCCTCACATAGTCTCTGGAATAGGCCGGGAAAGAAAGGGTCTGGAGAGGAAATCCAGAGGAAAGGTGAGCTCACAGCTCAGGAATGCTGCCCCTCAGCCCATTTCATTCAGTGAGGCTCAGATGCATTCGCTGCTGGCCATGGCTAAGAGAGGGACCCTTTGTCTCCATGGGCATTCAGCGCTGGACCTCTGCCCGCCCCAAGCCTAGCCTGAGAGGGATCCCTTTGCCGAGTTGCACAGTGGGGATGAGCAGGGGCCCGATCCGGTTCTTCCCACCGCTCCCCCCATTACTGCGCGGCAGGGGGGGCACAAGAGGGGAGTGATCAGACAGGGCTTCCTGGAATGCTGTTCGTGAAAGAACCGAGTTGTCCCCTGTCCAGCTGGGCGCCGACACCCACTTCCTGTCATGAACCAGCCTGGCCCAGCAGGCTGTTTAGTCTGCTGGATGGTGCCAGCCACACAGCCCACGTCACTGCCAGTGCCCGCTGGGGGAGGAGGGCAGCGCCTGCCTGGATGGGCTCCCCCCTCAGCGCTCGGCTGCAGCTCTGCCTACGGAGATTGGGACCGAGGGAGAGAATCAAGTATCAGCGAGAAAGGAGCAAACCCCTCAGCCTGCTCCAGCAGCCAATCCCTGCAGGACTTTAGGCCTGCTGTTAGGGCAGCCATTTACTCGTGAGGTGACCACACTCATCTGATAGGCCTGAGGGGTTCACTCCAGTGCAGAGGGAATCCCAGTGTTTCCCCCTCTGTGGGCAGTGGGGCAGTGCAGGCCTTGCCCCAGTGGGTCTGCCTCCGCTCTCTGCTCCTGGGTACCACAGAGCCCGGGAGGAGACCGGCGTTCCAGGTTGCCAGGGGGATGGAGACAGACCCTTAACAAGGGCTGTGAATGCTGAGGGGAAGCCAGGGCCTGGGTGGGGGGGTTCCCCTCTCAGGAGACCCCAGCCTGGGAGGCGTTGCTGTAGGAAGCAGATGTTGCCCAGGGAACAAGTCTCTTTGCAGGCGTTCTGGAGAGGGCTAATTCCCTAGAGACCAGCATCTGTGCAGCTCTTGTCACTGTTACTCTGCCCACCCCCACCCCCACCCAGCGCCTCATACAGGCGAGTCTGGGGAGGGATACGGAAGCATGGTGTTCACGCTAAGACCCCACCTCACCATTCTCTCCTCTTCCTAGGCTCTGGCTACGACACTGCGGAGACGTACAACAATGAAGTATATGTGGAAGAGGTTCCCCCAGCTCCTGCTCTGGACTATCGAGGTAACAGTTGCATGCCGGCCCATAGTAGGGCACCCTGACCAGAACTGGCCTCAAGCTACCCCAAATGTCTGGAAACGAAGCACAGTCTGTCTAGCTAAAACAAAAAAACAGGACTATGAAGCACTTAAAAGACTAACAAGATGGTTTATTAGGTGATGAGCTTTCGTGGGCCAGACCCACTTCCTCAGATCAAAGTGTGGAAGAAAATAGGCATGACCATATATACCAAAGGATACAATCAAAAAAATTAACACATATGAAAAGGACAAATCAAATTTCAGAACAGAAGGGGGATGAAGGGGGGAGGTAAATGTCTGTGAGCTAACGATATTAGAAGTGATAATTGGGGAAGCTATCTTTGTAATGGGTAAGATAATTAGTGTCCTTGTTAAGACCTAGGTGTAAAGTGTTACTATCTGTCTAGCTAGGCTAGCCTGTCTGAATATTTAGCATCAATATCTCCCCTCTTCTCTCTGTTTCCTAGTTCCCCAGTGGTGCTACCCATTAAATATCCACTATGGAGAGGCGACCTGCTACTCCCCACGGGGAGGGAATTACCGCAGCAGCCTGGGAACGCGCTGCCTACTCTCATGTGATCGAGGCTTCCGGCTATTAGGGCAGAGATCGGTGCAGTGCTTGCCGAGCCGGCGCTGGACTGGCACTGCCTACTGCAGACGTAAGTCCTGTATGGGAGAGGAGTGTGTGTGAACATTCTAGTGTGTGTGAGCATGCTGTCCTCCGGTGAGTGTGAACATTCCAGTGCATGTGAGCATGCTGTCCTGGGGTGTGCGTGAACATTCCAGTGCGCATGAGCATGCTATCCTGGGGTGAGTGTGAACATTCCAGTGCACATGCGCATGCTGTCCTGGGGTGAGTGTGAACATTCCAGTGCACATGAGCATGCTGTCCTGGGATGCACGTGAACATTCCAGTGCACATGAGCATGCTGTCCTGGGATGCACGTGAACATTCCAGTGCGCATGAGCATGCTGTCCTGGGGTGAGTATGAACATTCCAGTGCATGTGAGCATGCTGTCCTGGGGTGTGCGTGAACATTCCAGTGCGCATGAGCATGCTGTCCTGGGGTGAGTATGAACATTCCAGTGCGCATGAGCATGCTATCCTGGGGTGAGTGTGAACATTCCAGTGCACATGCGCATGCTGTCCTGGGGTGAGTGTGAACATTCCAGTGCACATGAGCATGCTGTCCTGGGGTGAGTGTATACATTCCAGTGCATGTGTGATCATGCTGTCCTGGGGTGTGCATGAACATTCCAATGCACGTGAGCATGCTGTCCTGGGGTGCACATCAATATTCCTGTGCGTGTGAGCATGCTATCCTGGGGTGAGTGTGCACATTCCAATGCACGTGAGCATGCTGTCCTGGGATGCACGTGAACATTCCAATGCACGTGAGCATGCTGTCCTGGGGTGCACATCAATATTCCTGTGCGTGTGAGCATGCTATCCTGGGGTGAGTGTGCACATTCCAATGCACGTGAGCATGCTGTCCTGGGATGCACGTGAACATTCCAATGCACGTGAGCATGCTGTCCTGGGGTGCACATCAATATTCCTGTGCGTGTGAGCATGTGAGCATGCTGTCCTGGGGTGCACGTGAACATTCCTGTGCATGTGAGCATGCTATCCTGGGGTGAGTGTGCACATTCCAATGCACGTGAGCATGCTGTCCTGGGGTGCACGTGAACATTCCTGTGCATGTGAGCATGCTATCCTGGGGTGAGTGTGAACATTCCAATGCGCATGAGCATGCTGTCCTGGGGTGCACATGAACATTCCCGTGCATGTGAGCATGCTGTCCTGATGGAGACGCATGCTGAGTTATGCGACAGACAACGGGGAGGGACTGTTTGGCATTGGTCCTAGGGGCAGCACTTCATGTCTATTGGGACCTGACCTCCGTTCACTAACAGGAAACGGCAGCGACAGAGCTGCTGACTCACAATTTTATCACACGTCTCCTGAGATTTGATGTTTGCCTTAAACACCCAGCTCCAGGACCCGTGATTCGGAGACACTCCCAGCTGTCATTAAAAATCTTCCCAGCCCTCCTGCGTGGGAAGAAAAGTGGCCGGACGTGGCCCAGACACACCTTAAAGCTCAGGAACCAATAGTCAAAGAGCCCCACAGTTATGATTTCAAATGATTCCTAAGCCAGACTGGCTGCTGAATTCTGAGGGTGGCGACAACGCATTGGAGACTCTCAGTCTAGACTACATGCCTTTGCCGGCAGAGGCATGTAAATTAGACTACCCGACATAATCAGTGAAGCGGGGATTTAAATATCCCCCGCTTCATTAAAATAAAAATGGCCGCCGCGTTGTGCCGGCTCAGCTGATCATCGGCACAGCACGGCAGTCAAGACGTGGATCGGTTGGTAAGGAAAGCCTTTGTCGACCGATCCTGTAAACCTCGTTTCAGGAGGCATAAGGGATCGGTCAGCAAAGGCTTTCCTTGACTATGTTGGGTAGTCTAATTTACATGCCTCTGCCAGCAGAGGCATGTAGTCTAGACATACCCACAAAGGGGCACATGCTGGGTCCGGTGCCCAGACGGGCTCCAAGCAGCACACACAGGGAACGGCTGCAGCATGCAGCTAGTAAAGCGTTTCGGGCGCTGTAGAAGTGTGAGATGCTGGCCGGTGCCCTCGTGGCTGGTTCAGCCTAGCCGGTCGTCTTTTGTCCCCTCCTGCCTGGAGCTGCTCCACCCCTGCAATGGCCTGCCTCTTCTCGTGGCTTAGTCTCCCGTCAGGTCCCATTCAGCGCCACCCCTCCTGCGTAGCGGAAAATACCACCAAACACTAGTCCAGCAACCTTAGCTTTCAACCCAGACTCTGGGCTCAATGGTTTTTCCACCCATTTCCTCAGGGGCTTTTACCCCCTTTCTGTGCTGGCCTAGCCCTTCCCTCTACTTTAGGCATCCTGCAGCTGGCAGCCAACCTCTGCTTCCTCAGCATCATCCTCAGCAGCCAAGTGGCCTCCCTGGACCACTTCCGACCTCGCCTTGGCTCTGAGCCCTTTCCCCAACCCGTTCCCAGGCTCTGCGAGTTCTTTCTCCTGGAGTCCCAGCTCCCATGTGCCTCTCCCCATGGTCTCTGTGTCCATGGCTCTTTCCACCAGAAGCCTGACCCCACAGAAATACCAGGTCTGCTGCTCGCAGGGAACAGCGCACACACCACCTTGAGTGATTCAACTCAGGCTCCGTTTGTGGAGCACTGCCCACAGGCACTGAGGCAGACCGACAGTGCAGGCAGTGAGCAGTTTGCAGTCAAAGATCCGAGGGCCAAGAGAGAGTCTAAAGACATTTTCTCACCCTGAATGTTCTTTGCTGCCTTCCAGCCAACTAGAGGTGGGAATCCAGTTTTCATGAATGTGGTCACGCTGCCCTTTACTTCCTAGGTGAGAATCAAGGGGTGTCTTCCTTGCCTTTGCTTGGTAGCCCCGAAGTTGGTTGTCGGTGCCTAGAGCCAGGATAACCCCCATGGCTTGGTCTCTCGTGTGCTACCTCCCTGGTGATTTCACATCCTCCCCTCCGTGGACTCTGTATGCAAATGCAGCTTTCACCAGGGCTTCGTTTACACGTCTGGCAGATGCGCTGTGTCTCAGCGTTGCCTTGGCACGGCCTTTGAGAGCGTATTTTCAGAGTGTGCGGACAGGTCATTCCCAACAACATTACTGGCCATCCTGGCCCTGGCTTTCATTTTTAAGACCTGGCCTGGCATTCTTTGATGACCCAGAAGACTCCTGTATCCCGCTTGCCTGCTGGATTAAAGGGTTCCTGGGCCATTCCAGGAGCTTGCTCCTTTCCTGTGGCTTCCCACTGTCTCTCCTGACCACCCCACAGGCCAGATCCCAAGACCTGGTTTTTCCCACCGTCTCCTTGCCTGCCTTACATTCCTTTTTGATTCATCACCCAGAACCTCTCAGCTGGGCCAGGTGCATTGCTGCCTGGTGCCAGTTAACTCTTTCTCTGCCAGAGTGGGGACAGACACATTATTACAGGCTCTTTTAGGGTCCGCCTACCCGTGTCCTATAGCCATCACTAATCTCTGCGTGCCTGAATAGACGGCCTTTCGTTTCCATGTCCCTCTTCACCTCTGCAGCTTTGCCCTGCGGTTTATTGCCCCACCAGCTGCCTGAAGGATGGAAGAAAGCCCCAGGGGCCCTATCAGCCAAGCCACCCCATGGCCTAGAGCAACTGAGCTCCATGCCAGCCCTGGTGCTGCAGCCCCGAACTGTGTGCTGCCCTTAGAGCAGTGTTTCTTAAACTGTGTTCTGCAGCACACCGGTGTGCTGCAAGGCAGTCGGAAGTGTGTCGTGGAGAACAACAGAATTCAAAATGGCCACCCTTAAAGGAGCAGGCAACCTTTTTTTTTATCAATAACTTCCCCGACCCCTTTGCCCCCCCCCAACATTTTTGTTGCTCAACAAAAAATCCTTGGTGTTCCTCATAAAAAAATTATTGTTTGGTATTCCTTGGTCTTAAAAAGTTTAAGAAACACTTGTTTAGTGTGATCCTTGGCCTTTGTTTCTCCTTGCTGAGTTCTCCAATCTTGGGCTCCTAGTTTGATACTTTAAGTAGCACAAAAGCCTCTGAGTCTGGGTTTGGCAACCTACAGCATGCCAGAGTGTCGGCCTGTCCCCATCTCCAACCCACCCCTCCCCGGGTACCAGCTGGAGGGCGACCGCAGCCGGATCTGCATGGAGGATGGGCGGTGGAGCGGCAGCGAGCCAGTCTGTGTAGGTAAATTCTCCCCCTGCTGTCCTTCCTGCCAGCCTGGCTCATCCTGCACACGTGCTGTAGGGACCACAACGGCTCAGAGGTTCGCCTTGGTGGGGTTGTTACCACCCTCATGGGTTCTCCCTGTTCTCCCCACCTGGGGGGACTACAAACCCCCATTAATCCTGGATGCTGTCTGCTAGGGACTGCAGTGCCATGGTCACATCCCATGGTGTACCCTGCTTAACGCCCCTGGGGCAGCATGGGCCTTTGGCTTAGGGGGGTTGCTTGGCCTAGCCCTGTGCTTTGGCCTAGCTCCCTCCCACTAGATTATTCTGGGTGTCTGCCCCAGGGGGCTGTCTGCATGGCTCGCCCTGGCTAGGGCAGGAACTATTGCATGTCCCTGCACTTTCCCCTAGCTCCTTGCCCCCTGAGGTTTACTGCCTCCTCCCGGGGTTTCTAGCTGAACTTCCTCCTCCCTGTACTGTGGCCTTGCCCCAAATGGTCCCCCTGGCGTTGATGTTTGCTTTGCCCGGGCAGATATTGAGCCCCCCAAGATCCGCTGCCCAGAGTCACGCGAGAGGATGGCAGAGCCGGAGAAGCTGACGGCCACTGTATACTGGGACCCGCCCCATGTGAAGGACTCTGCGGATGGCATCATCAAGCGGTGAGTGCGGGGGGCTGCAGGACCCCTTCCCTGGGGTCTGATGGTTTTGTTGCCCCGAAGTGGCCACGTGGGGGTTGAACAAAGCCCCGGTTGGGAGAAAGGCACCCCCCACCGAAGCAGCTCTGTGTCTTTTGGGTCCAGAGTGACACTGCGGGGCCCAGAACCCGGGTCGGAGTTTCCGGAGGGGGAGCACGTTATCCGTTACACCGCCTACGACCAGGCCTACAACCGAGCCAGCTGCAAATTCATCGTCAGAGTCCTAGGTAAGGCCGAGCCTACAGCCCTGGGACCTCAGCTCCCCGCGTCTCGGCTGGAGCGTCCAGGTCTTCCCTGGGGGAGCATAGGGGCCACGCTCAGGCCCCAGGTGTGTGGGAAGGAGTTTTGGTTCCTGCATGTTGCCTCCCTGTGTCACCGCCCTGCCAAAGCCCTGCTAAGCCCAGGCCACGCCAGCCCACCCGATGCTTTCTCTGCCTCTCCCTTGTGGCCTTTGGCCATACCAGGCTGCCTGGGGCTGCCTCCCCCGTCCTATGGGCACGTAGGCCACTTCTGACCCTGGACGCTCACTTGGGCCTGCGGGGTAGCCCGCCCCACCCCCCAGTACCGCCGCCTCCCTGATCTCCCCTCTCCTTGCAGTGAGTCGCTGCCCTGTTCTGAAGCCGCCGCAGCACGGCTACCTCAGCTGCACCTCCGAGGGCAATAACTACGGCGCCACATGCGAGTACTTATGCGACGGGGGCTACGAACGCCAGGGGACCCCCTCACGCGTCTGCCAGTCCAGCCGCCACTGGTCGGGATCCCAGCCCATCTGTGTGCGTGAGTGTCCGGGGCGAGCCGTGGGTGGGGCGGCTGCACGCAGGCCGGGGCGAGAGCCTGCAAGCCACTGAGCCGCCTCGGCCCCGACTCTTGGGTTTTATGCACCCGGCAGCGCCCCCTTGTCCTGAATGGGGCTGTTGCGGCTCCAGGCCCCAAGAGCTCACCATATCTCCAGTGACAGCACAGGCAGCACCTGCACGGCCTGAGCATCCCCGGCCAGGGGCGCTGGGCGGAGCACGGGCTGCCGGCGGGGCTGGTTGGCTATGCAGATGAAGCAGATACGGGAAGAAGCACAGTGCAGCTCTGTCAGCATCCCCCTCTCCCCTCCCCCCCCTCCTCCAGGGCTGGATTTGAACAGCAGCCCCTCAGCTGGAGTTCACTCTGTCCCTGGGCTCGCCCTGGTAGTGGGTGGGCAGGGGTCAGGCACCCCCCAAGCCCCCCCTCCCACCTCCCTGCCTTTCAGGCTCCAGCTGCCCCCTCTCGGATGGTGCCAAAGCAACCCCTGGAGCTGAATGCCACCTGCCTCTAAGGAGGGGTGGGTCCAGATCTGAGCCGTGGGGCATAGGCACATGGCCGGTTCCTGGAATCCCAGCAGCTGTGCTGCCTGGCAAAAATACCCCTCGCCTCTTCGCAAGCCCCAGAGACTCAAGGGCACGATACAGGGACGTCGCAGGCTGCTGCTCTCCTTAGAGCGCGGCCCCAGAAGTCGTTGGAGTTGCCCCCGCAGTGTAAGCCTGGTGATGGGGAAGAGTCAAAGCCTTCCCGGGTTTGGCCATTTGTTAAAATGGTCTCACACACCAGCCCTAGTCAGCCCTGTGTCCTGCTGGCCAGGCAGTAATGCAGCCAAGCCGGCCAGGCTGCCCACCGTGAAGTCCCCGACCCCAGTGCGGAGACGGAGGTGTGGCCTGCTGCGGCCCTATCTGCGTGGCCTGGCTGGCGTGGCCCTGGTGGGGTCAGCGTTGCTCAGGGTGCGGGAGGGAAGACGAGGATGGGTCCTTCGTCTCGCTGCAGCTGATGCGGTGCAGGTCTGGGCCTCTCCACAGAGCGAGATGCAAACTCCCCAGTTCATGGGACACAGGGATGCTGCCCCCCCCCCGGCATATTTGCTGCCCTCTGCTAGAGAAATGGTGATGGAGACCAGAGGCCCCCAGCCCCTGGGAGAAGGGCAGAGGCAGCTGACTTCTAGAGCAGGCCATTCTAGGGTCCTGCAGACAGAAGGCAGGTGCGTCGGACACCCCTGCCAGCCACCTCCCTGTTGGAGCTCACGCGCCCACCTTCCCGCCTCAGCCATGCAGATCAACGTGGACGTGAACTCGGCCACGAGCCTCCTGGATCAGTTCCACGAGAAACGGCGGCTCCTCCTCGTCTCGGCTCCCGACCCCTCCGATCGCTACTATAAGATGCAGATCGCCATGCTGCAGGTGAGACCCTCGCCTGCGCCGCCTCCTGCCCCAAACCCAGCCCGCAGCCTGTGACGGGCTCTTCTCCTCTCTGCAGCAAGCCACCTGCGGGCTGGACCTGCGGCACGTCACCGTCCTGGAGCTGGTGGGGCAGCCCCCCCCCGAGGGGGGCCCCAGCCGGGA